AATTTTTTTAATTAATAGTCTGATTAAATACAGTCATGTGAAGAGTACTTTAATTTCTTCGATTCATTGGCAATGTCAGCGGCATAGAGCGTGCATTACCATTATTTGACATTTAGCACCGAAAATAAACGAAATTTAACGAACAATATTTTACAATTATAATTTGTCAAACTCGATTTGCTAAATATATTGTCATCATTTCAAATTAAAAAACATTAAAATTACACTCACACAATTATTATTGTACCCATATTTTATATTTTGTAACAAATCCTCGTACGTGTATTTATTTAAATTCTTCATATCACTTACACTATTAATTTTTGATACAATATACGAGTATTACCATCGCGCCGCTATATAATACAAACACGTATGAATTATAAATAAAGTAAAGTTAGCGCGCAAAAATTTTTAACAAAAAATTAAAAAAAAAAAAATGAATAAAAAAATTTGTTTATTTTAATTTTGTTTTTTTTTTGTTCTTTTCAATTTATCTATGTACGTGCACCCCTTTAATAAAAATGCCTTCTTATACAATAAAATAGAAAAAATACAGTCTCCCAGTCTTTTGAACTTTTGTTTTTTTTTTATTTTTCTAATGGTACATACCAAGTTTTTTTGTTATCCTGAGGCAAGACATCATAAAATTTTAAAGTGGAATATGAAAAATCATTTCTATATTAGAAAATCTATAGAAAGAAAATTTTGTATGAGAACAAATATGTGCACATACACACAAATATATTAAAGTAATTTCAAGGATAAATTTTTTTCCGATGACGTCATCGAAATTCACGTGTATAATTGTATTTATTTATTTCTTTTCTCTCTCTCCTTTTTAAGAGATTTAAATTTTTTTTTTGTTTTTGTCTTTTTTTTATAATAATTCAATCGGTTACGGCCTTTTGTATGTTATAAAAATAATTTGAAATTCAGAAAAAAAATTTCAAGGGGAAATGAATATTTATTGAGTATGCTTTACACGTTCTTCTCTCAACATGCATAAATATATAGGATGTACCGAATATGTAATCTAAGGAAATGAATTGAAGAAGTATAAGTAACTATAATTAAATGTTTTAGACTTATATTGAAAACTTTCGAGCTTGATCGTAGATATTCTTTCCTAAACCATGAAATTCGCAAAGAAAAATAATACGAAAAAAAGAAATACTTGTACTTTTATACGAGGCCACGTGACATAATTGACATTTTGTGAAAATTTCATTGCGTTTTCGTAACATAAACGCACAAATGTCAAATACGTTATTAAGAAAATTGAAGATAAGTTTAGTAAAATTAAAAAATGAAAATATTTTTCTATAATTTTTCTAGCAGGATGAAGATTATATAAAGTGCAAACTTACAAAGTTGTAATTTCTGGCTACTGAAGTCATGAACAAATCTTACTCGTTTTTCAGCTCTAATTTTTTCATCCAGGCTTCTTCTATGTTTACTATAAGGAATACAACAAATTCGAGGAAAAAAAACTTTGGTTTGGTTGAATGCTATTCCATGTGCTCAATTTCATAATTGTACAAACAGTTAATATAAATGGTGTGTTACTTGCCGAAACACTCTGTCTTTAAAATCTCTTATATAAGGATATCATATATTTTTTTTTCTTTTTTCCTGATTAAAAAATAATGTTATGGCAATGAAATTTTTCCTGAAATGATTTTTACATTATTATTTTCTACCTTAAACAATTCATCGTTATGTTAACCGTAACGTTTTTGTATTGGTAAAAAATATTTTTTATTTTTTTCTATGGTATATTCATAAAATAACAAAATTAAATCTTAATAATATGAATGAAAAGCTTTTGTCATCAATAGAATACACAAACAAAAATAATGTAAACAACATGGTACCCCACATTCCATTAGAAGAGTTGTCCTTATATAGGTGGTGAGGCTACAATGTACTTTGTGTCTAACAATTTCCAGCAAAAATATACGATTACACTTATTAAGAAAAATTAGGTTTCTTGAAAACATTTTAAATGCGATTAAGTTATTGGTAGAGAGGAATAAAGGGGTGACATGGGGTGAGGTTGCTGTTCTCCCATAGTATGAACTAGAGAACATACTCGTACATAAAACGTAAATATTAAATTTTAAGAACATTTTTCTGTAATATTTCTTAATGGATTGTACATTTTACGTATATACTCGTATTTGATTTGAAATGGATTTTTTTGTATATTTTTGTCCTTTATAATTTCTTGTTTGCTTTTACCACTATTATTTTAGAATATTAAATTTTATTCATTGAGAATAGTAAAACAAGAAAATTGTCCTTTTATAACATAGATTTGAATGTGTTTTTCTTTATTTTCAAAATTTTATTTTTAGTTTGAATTAAAATATTTAAAAAGGGACAATTGTAGAATTTCAATTAGCCTAATAAAAAATTTATTCAAATTTGACTTACACAATAAAAACTATGATCTAACAAAAGACTCGAACTTTTGCTAGAAATGTCACGTATCAGAAAAAAAACCCAATAAAAAATCAAAATTAAAGTTATTAAATTGTAGTAATAAAAATAGTCTTTAATTTGGAACAAATTCTAAAGGAGTCAAACAATTTTGATTTACACCATAACATTTTTTAATCGAATGTTGTTTTAGAACTTTATCATTAGTCCTTATGCATCATTTTACATGTTTTCCAAACACTACCGTATTAGCGGCATTTCAAATACTGATAAAAATCAAAATATTTATTACAGATCTTATTTTGTGTTCTATTTCGTACAGCTTTTATATAGGGTGATTTAATTTTAAACGTAAGGAAAAAAATTGCAAAATTCCAAGTTCGCAGGTAGTTTTTATTTGATCGAAAAATTCATCTTTGCCATTCTTTTAAAATATAGTTTCAGCTAAACGTACAAACGGCTACGCTTTAGAAAAAAATTAAAGAAAAAATTTTGATCCATTTTTTGCCAGTTACTACGCTGAGTCTAGGCTACACATTGAGCAACGATGTGCCGCAACCCAAGGAGTGGATCATAGTGCGTAACGAAGTACCGCGACCCAAGGGGGATCAATTGATCCCCCCTCACGAGATTTATCCTTCTGACAAATCCAAGTATGTTGTAGTGATCGATTTCTCAAGCTTTCTTGCTACGAAGACGCAACCATCCAGAGACTTCCTTCTGCTATCGATCAACATATTCTTAATTAATTAATTGTTAAATTTTAATAAATTGAAATCGTTCTTTTTCCATGATGAAATGGCGAACTCATTTTGACATTCACAATTGTAACGTGTTACGCGTGAGGTGTCAAAAGTAAAATCACACAAACAGCATTCCAAACAGAAGAGCAAAAAATCTCCCCGTATTACATAAAACCAAAATTTTAACACCTCTTTTTTATTTGGGTTCTAGAAATATAATAAAAAATAGCTAAATAAGAAAGAAAATAAAAATACAAAAAAAAAACTGGTAGGAACCATAAAAACCATAAGAAAATTGTATAGAAAAAAATAAATATTCGATTTAACGACTCATAAATTTAATGTTTTTCTTTTTCTAACAGTACAAACAATATAATATTTGACACTATCAGATCTCACCGAATGAAAAAAATAAAAAGGAAAATTAAAGAATCAAAAGCTATGCAAAGCATGGGAGGCTTCCCGGAAGAAAATCCTTTTACGTATTTATAATAAACTTTTTGTTTGTATTTGCGCAGATTGCCTCTCCTTTCCTTTCAGTTTTCTCTTCTTTTGAACCAGATGGTACATGAATACAAAATTATGTACGAATGTATGTTTATCTCTCACTAAGTTATAACATAACATGTAACAAAGTTATGCTGTACAAAGAATAAGTAGCTAAATTATAAACTGAGAATTTTTCAAAGCTTTTTCTCACAACAACAGCAACTATATCCATATATTTTTACGTTCACACTAATATTATGAAATCAAAAAAAAAATTGAGAAAATGTGTAGTTGATACTCTTAACTATGGAGTATAATAACAGTTAATTTATATATGAGAGCAATATAATTTTTATTTTACTGATACGGATCACTTATCAGAAGCTCTAGGTGTCTTAGAACTCACGGAAATGACTGGTGTTTTGGGTGCAAAGAATATAACTTGAGTTGACTGATTGAATACGTTAAAGCTGTTGTCATCTTAGCTCATCATTGGTAACACATTTTGGACCTTCGCCGTGGGATCTCAGTAACAGTAGGGATATTGGAATACGATAGGGACATAAATAAGATGACAGACGTTTTTTAAAAATTGTATCAAATGATAAGAGAGGATGTATATCTTAAAAGAGGACCTAAAAATATCTAATTTTTAGAAGAAGGAATGTCGATATACTTGTGAAAGTTTTTAGCTCTTGGCTTATACATGCCTGAAAGAACAAAGGCACGTTCTGGTTTGCTTTTTATCATCCCAATGAGTGGGTCAATCAGTGGGTCAGTATTTCTTGTGTTATTGCTTGCCATTTGTGTAATGCAATATAAAAGAATCAAAACAATGAAGATCGCAAATTGTTTAAAATAAGAACACACCTCCAGCCATCGCAATAATGCAAGTACCCAATCTTCTTTAATGTTACAAATAGAAAAGCAAATTTGTTATACACTATACAACTTTCAATAACGGCATGAAAATACTGTTGGGGAGAAAACAACGCAAATATACAGCATCACAGTGTAACAAAGCCGTCATTGATTTTATTTTATCCCTGTTCTTTCTATACACACAGCTTACAATATTGTATTTTGCTGCTGTAACAAAATGTGTTGTTGAAAATTTAAAAAAGGTGAATTAAAAAATAATGTTGACAAAGGTGCTTATTATAAAACGAAATACCAAAATAGTTAAAAGGATATTTTCGTTTAGTACGGACGGACGACATTTTTGTGCATCTTTTTGTGTTTTTATTCTTACACTCGTAAAATTTTTCTTCTTTCCTTGCTTTAATTTTAACACGAAAGTCCCCAAATTGTTTTGTTTTTGTTATTTTTTTTAATTTTTTTTTAACTATAAATTTTTTCTGAAGAAAGTGAAAATTTTTAATTTTTATAAAATATTTAAAATGTTCAATAAAATAATCACAAATTTAATTAAAAATTCAAATAAAATTTAAAAGAAAAATAATAAAAAATAATTTTGAAATCAAGAGAAAAAGTCGCAAATTGGTAAGGCACTAAAGAAAGAAAAGTTCCTATTATCCTTGTTAGAATTTATGTTGGTTTCTGTCAGCAATAATTATTTTTAATAATACTAAAAAGCAATAAAAATAAAAAATTTATTAAAGCTTTTTGTGAGATTTTTCTAAATTGTGTTTAAAAGATGAAAAATATTTTTGTAATTGTTACATATAACAGGAGAGTATTAAATAACATTGTCTACAGAATGTTATAAAAATGTTATGTTAAATTATTCATGTTAACTGAATAGTTAAGGGTGTGATTTTATTCATACATTTTACAAGTAACCGAATCGTTGTTGTGTATGGAAGTTTAAAGTTCGTCATATCTTTATAGCAAAAACATATTGAAATTTTCAAAAATTTAAAAAACCAGAGGCATAGAAGAATTTTACGTAAGTATTCATCGAATTTTATTTAAGTATAATTTTTATTTTTTCACGATTTGGTTAAATAAATAAAAGAAATAGTTTTTAAATAAATTTGCTTAAGGGTAATTAAAGTTAAATGACCCCAGAAACTGGGACGTTTCGTTTTGGAAATCCGTAGGCTCTTTAATAAGATGGAACGTGGGAAGAATATAAAAAAAGGTTAATAACCTTTAACAGTAAAATTCGTAAGGCCAGACGCAAAGGTTTAAGGACTTAACGAAACTTTAAGGAGACAGGACCAATTTGTGTAATTTGGTCACAGGGAATCAGAAACTAAATATAAAGGTCGAGTTAAGGGTGGCCGTTTCGGGCTGAGGCAGGTCAAGGCAATTATGACCAAAAGCGGTATAAGAAAATAAATTACCAGAAGCGGTATAGGAGAACTAGGCCTGGCAAGTGAGAGCACATAGGTTCTGTAAGGAAATGGAGAAAACTTCGATGCACCTTCTCGGTGGGTGTGATCCACAGTAAAAGGGAGTCTCTGAAAAAGACGGATTGTTTTTAAATCAATTTTTGAACAATCCATTGAACCAATTCTTTCAACAGTCTAAAATTGATATTGCTTTGAATAAGGAAAAATTTCAAAAATTGAAATTTTTTCCAATTTTCATTTCTCTATTTGTTTCTTTTACACAAAATTATTTTACGCTTAGTATAAATTGCTTATAAATATTTAAGTTCCTTTATAAGCGTCCATCACTCTCTTCTCTTCTATACACAAAAAAATTCCCTTTCACCTTTATTTTACCATAAAATATTCAATTCAAACAAATTTTCCTCCAAATCAACTAACAATGTGGAAAACGTTTTTATTAAAAAAAAAAAAATAAATGTCCTTTTGTTATACAAATTTCCTTTTTCCAGTCACTTTAAGTAAAATAGTGTCTACTACACCTACATACCTACAATATAGCGTTACAGAAATTATTTTTTTGTTTCACACCTCATAACAATTATTTTTTTCTTTCTTGCATTTGTTTCTTTTCATATTATTTTAATTTTCCGTCTCCATTTTAATATTTTGCGCCTACAAATTTGTTCTTTTTCTTAATTTAAAAACAAAAAAATTACAAAAACTGAAACAAAAAAACAAAAGCAAAAAAATATTCACCCCTACTTTAGTCACTTAACAGTAATCTGCTTATATAGAGTTTATTGTTAAATTGACATAAGTCCATTTTTGTTACATTTGAGATATTTTAACATTCATACCATTTGCAATCAATCAAATTTGTTTTTGTTTTAGTTGCAGTTCAGAAGGAATTGCAGAATATTAGAAAAAAATATTTACTCTTGTGGATCTTATGATTGTGGATCTTACAAAAGCCCACAGGACGATTACCATATAAGGATCTATTGTGCTAACTTCCCTTACCCAAAAAATTTTTTTTTTTTCAATGGTTGATAATTTTTCCGAAATATAATTTTTTTTTTTTTTATTGGTGTGAAAAGAAAACTTCCTTTTATTCGGAATAAAATACTTTTTAAGAAGTACTTAAAATACTTTTTCTCAGAAGAAAATCAGCTTTGGTAAAGTGCGTATGTAGCGCACGAAATATATTAGCGAAAAATAAAAAGTATTTTATTCCGAATAGAAGGAAGTTTTCTTTACACACCAATAAAAAAAAAAAAACTTACCCTCTTACTACACGTTACGATCATATTTTGCAGTATAGTTGCTAGGAAATATCTGATAAGACAGAAAATGAGATTTTTATCTAAATTGCAAAAAGAATTTTACAAAGATTGTCATTTTCAACTTTAAAATTACATCTTTTTGAATTGTTCCAGTTTTACAGCACTTTGCCAATCGACATTGACATATTTTGAAAAATTTTAATAAAGTGATATGAGCTATTTAAATTTTAAAACAAAACTTACCATTAAGTAAAGTTATTAACAATATAACAATTGTTCTAAAATATTATAATGCTCATAATATATAGACTATAAATACATATATATTTATTCACATACACACCTGTGTATCATACATAATGTACATAAAAATTCTATATTTTACAACTAGTTGATTCAATTGAAATATTCTAAATTAAACAATGTACATTTTTACTCAACTCACAAGTCACATTAAATATTATACATTATATATTCACCATTCATTAATATTAAGTCACTATAATATATTCTTCAAACAACATAACAACTTGTGTATTACATTACAGATGTTGCATAACAGCCAGCGAATCCAACCCAGCATCTTTAGCATATAATTTAGATTACTTAATACCTTTCCACCTACACTATTTTTATTATTATAAAATTTCAAGTGCAATAGAGAGAGAACTTTCTCTTTTTTATTAAAATTCTGTTATCTGTCAAAAATGAATTTTCACGTACCGCTTATCAAAAACAAAATTCTCATTTGAAAAGAAAATAATGTTATCAGTTATCACTATCACAATAATTTTAGAGCAAATGTATACATGTATGTGTATGTAAAAATGTTATGTTGTTTCTGAAAAGAGAGCTTTTGACATTTTGTGTTAAACTGTTGTGTTGTTGTGTGTATAAGATGGGCGCTTTTCGGATAAGTTTCATACAAAAATTTTATTACAAATTTTTTTTTCCCTTTAATTTTTTTCTTCTTTTCATTTTTGTTTGGTTTTTTTTTCTCGCTTCATACTCAATAAAATTTCTGTTATCATTTTGAGATAAAAACAAAAAATTATTTTTATTTTCTTTTCTTACTTTGTTGTTGTTGTTAATTTTTTTTCATTTTGTATAGGCCCGCTATATTTTAAAATGTTTTTAATAATTTTTTCATCTAAAAATCAGATGGAATTTAAAGAAAACATTCAGTTTTTGTTGATCGGTAGCGGTGTTCGGTTTAAATTTTATTCAAATTCCGCAGAAGAAATTTCTTTTCTACATTGTAATTAGAAAAATACAAAAGAAAAGAAAAAATTAATAAAATTATTTAATAAAGAATATTTTAAAATAATTATTAAAAATAATAAAAATATTCAGAAAATTAAGAAAAAAAAAATTGAAAATTTATCAAAAATTTGAGCGCCAAATCATTTCCAAAGTATAAAAGCAATAAAAGAAGCGTGTTAAATTGTTCTCTAACAATTCCAAAAAAAACAACTTGAAAACTTTATTTTAAATTTTTTTGTTTGTTGTTATTCAGAAGAAAGAAAGAAATAAAAAATTAACAAAAATAAAAGAGAAAATAAAATTTAAACAAATAAAAATAAAACAAAAAAAATAAAGGTATTGGAACAGAAAAATTGTTAAATTTCATGTTTTTTTTTCTTATAAATTTTTTTGTTATTCTTCTGTTTTATTAATAAAACTGTTTAACAAAAGTAGTTATTAGTAATAATTAAAAGAATTTTTCAACAATCAAAACAAAAATTAATAATTATGCAAATAAATTGAAAATTTTAACGGAATAACAAAAATATTTAAAAAAATTAATTTTAACCTTAGAACAGCCATTGAAGCGTTAATAATATTAATTATAAAACAATTCTATACAGCTATAAAATTTGGAATCAAAATAAATTACAAAATATTTAATAAATTTTGAAATTTTTTTAGCAATATTGAAAATTAAAATGAAAAGGAAATTTTTAAATTTATCCAATTTTGTCTTTTTTTTTAAAGTAATTTCCATTTCTTAATTAAAAATTTAAATCATTTTTTTTTGTGTAAAATTACAAGGTCATCTGTTAAAAATTATTTAGCATAAGAAATTTTTTACAATATTTTTATTAAAATTTATTAAAAGAAGACAATCAAAAAATTCTTTAAGCTACATACATATATATAAAAAATTTTAATTGCATACTTACATACATGCTTACATAAACATACACATATGTGCTTTGTTTATATTATAAAACATTATAAATATTAAAATGTCTCATAATTTTTATGTTTTGCTTTTCATTTAGTGGTAACACGTGCTTTTTTCCAATAATTTCCTTAGTTTTTCTTCTTATAATTAATTATAAGAATGAGAGGGAAAAAAGAGAAGAAAATCTGTTCTTAAAATAAATATGTTCGTATATATAAGTTTATGCATACATACATGCATACCGATTATATAATAATTATAAATAATAAGCGAATTTATAGTTTTTTATTTCAAAAAGGATAATTGAGTATAAAATAAATAAATAAGAAATACTTACGGAGGAAGAACAAAATATGTTTTCTCTAAATATAAATTAATTATTTGCTAATTATTAAAATCGATTAATTAAGTCTAAAATAAATTTGAATATTACATAGAATAAATAATTCCTTAGACATCATAGAATCCTTAAAGTTGTAAAATCCGGCTGACAATTAATTTCAAGATAATTTTATTGTTATAACTACAAAATTATATTTTCTCCAAACTGATGCATGTTTGTATATGCGTGTATTTACAATAAATTAATATCTAGCATTCTCTCAATCTGAACACGCACCTTTAATTTTTAACAACAAAGACGACATTACAATTAAAAATTAACAATCAAAAAATTTCAATTTTATTAATAAATAACCCAAGACGCTGCCCCGAAATATTGTTTCAAGCTGTAGATTTACTGAAATTTGTAGTTTCTTAAAAAAGTTTCTTGAATGATTTATAAGATGTCTTTAAAATTATGATCTTTTAAAATTTTTGTTTACTTGCCTATAGGAATAAAAATTTCTATATTTACATAAAATATTTGTTCGATTTCGTAATAAGGCATTAATAAGAAATTAAATAATTAGACAAATAATTAAGCTTTTAATAATAGAAATTTTAATTAGCGTATATTAATTATTTCACAATAAATCGTAAAAAATGAAATTTCTTTTGTAGTTGACAGCTTAATTAGCATATTTTAAGAGTTTCGAACACGTTTTCATCAATTAAAAAATTCTTATGAGAGAACAAGTTCTCTATTTTAAATACTATAAACTTATGACGATTTAAATAAACAAATATTTTTGGTCAA